AAGAAGAAGGTCACAGCATGTTTAGCAGCACGAAGAGAGTAGGTCATCAATTTTCCTCACATTTGGGACGGCTTCTCACAGCAACTTACAGTGCGATGCCCTCGTGGCCAGTTTCGACGCCGCCGTCCTACGCTCTACGGGAATAGAGATCCTACAGACGCTGTGGTCGCACAACATCAGCGCCGAGCTCGCGAGGGATGCGCGGTCTCCAGAAGACTTACTCTCCCGCAACCGCGACGAGGGCTACTCCTGGGTCATCATCATCAAGCAAGACGCCATCCTCAAGGTCAAGACGATGGACAAAAAAGACACGCCCGACGTCGACATACCCATGGCGCAGCTCCTCTCGTGGCTGCGCGCCGAGATCCGGGAGCGCGACTCCAAGGAGTCCAAGGCGGCGGTCAAGTCGCGGGCCGGCGGGCAGCAGGCCGAGACCAACGTGACGATCGAGACGCACCAGGAGCAAGACGTGCGCGTGCTGGTCGCGGGGACGCGGAGCAAAAAGTTCAATCGCAGGACGGTCGTGGAGCAGGCGCAGGTGAGCGCGGCGAGCCTGGTGCGGTCGTTCCTCGACGGGCCGATCCTGGCTATCGAGACGACGGACCAGGTGATGGATCTCATCCGGGACACGTGCCTTTCGGACGGGGAGAGCTGGCGGCGGGTCGAGCACAGCGTCACGACGGCGGAGAAGAAGTACGTGAGGGAGATTCACGACATGTTGTTGAATTGGAAGTGGGCGTGGGAGAAGAAGAGCGATAGCCGGCACGCGTTTTTGTACAATTTCCGGACTGGGAATTGTGTCTACTATGATTTGGGAGCATAGTCGGATGGAAGAGGTAGATGGGGGGGGTTGAGCTTGTGGCTTGCTGCCCTTCAAGAAACGGATGAATAAAGAAATGAACAATCCCCTCGAGGTCTTTTCCCCCTGTTTGTTTTTCGTTCAGGTTTTCTTTTGTATCATTTATTACCAAGAAAGCGTCCTCGAAGCACCAGTTTCGCTCGAGTCTGCTCAAGAACAATCCTTTGGTGCGGCGGTGGTGGTAACAAAACCATAATGGACGGGAAGCAGGGGTCCGATGCCATGGCGGTGACTTGTGACGTGGGTTTCTGCGAGTTTGCATGGCTGGGTCGGCACGATCGGACCAAGGAGCATTGAGTTTATCTGGGGTCGACTTGGTTTACCTTACTGTGACGCCTTTTTTGCGACATACTAGAGATTTACGTGCCGTGCCGGGTCGTTATGCGAGGACAAAGACTCCCGGCCAGGTACCGAAACGGAGGCATTTTTGGGCCCAGTACCTTGATCAGTGGTTTGGGAGGAAGATGATTTCCAATCTACACAGATAGAGGACCTTGATGGCAGGTGATGGAAGGTGGATATCATGATGAGCCTCCTCAAGTCCTGGATATTTGTTGGTTATGGATTCTTAGTCATCTCGGGCAGTCTTTAGGCCTTGGGAATGGATAGTAGATACCTACTCCGTACTCGAGGGAGTCTGGGACAAGGTGTAAGTGCTGTGCTGATACCTGACGTGGTGACAGGCTGAAATGCACAGACAACAAAGAGAAACCTGGCAGTGCCTGTGAGGTGCATGGCGAGTCCGGACCACCCCTTTGCAGATTCCCAGTGAGTGTTTGTTGCTTTGGCTTTGAATTGAAGGCCAGGAGTGGCGGAGGCGAGGTCGAATAAGCACACATAAAGATGACACAGCAATGTTGCTGTAAGAACAGACAAGATATTTTCTATTGTCAAGGCCCTATTGGTGGCGGCATGTTTGGTTGACTGGCACCTGCACTGGTGATGTGACCTTTACCTTATTGTACGAATAATACGCATGGTCCTCGAGTGTCCAAGGACAATAAGACAAGGGGCAAAGGCAGAGGCAGAGGCACCCGACAGCGGCAGACAAGGAGTATTACCTAAAGTAACCGCAAGGTGGTAAGGTAGGGCCAAGGACAGGCGCCGTCTCTGAAGCTGGCCACGGATCCGAGACACTGCGTGACCTCCTTGAGGAGTCTAGCCATCTCGGGTGGTCCCTGGGGTCCCATGGTTCCCAACTCGTCCAGGCAGGGCAGTTTCCGGTCTACGGAGTACGGCACGTAACCTTGATAAATCCATCGCAAAGGGGGCACGCCGCACCTCAGACAACCTTGGAAGTCAGACCGGGCTGGCATTGCTGCTTTCTTACCTGAATTAAGGTAGACACTATTATTTCCTTTGCATCGCGACTTCCGTTGTCCAACTTTGTTCCCTGCGTGGCCCTCTTTTCTCTCTCTCTCTCTCTCTCTCTCTCTCTCTCTCTCTCTCTCTCTCTCACAGCATAAATCTCTCTCTGGACCCCGACCTTACCGCCATTCCATTCCCGTCTCAAATTAGCCCATAAGGTACTCTTACACCCGACGATTTCCCACCAGACAGGTCGCTCCCACGGGTCGGTCCTCCCGTCTCCCTTTATCTTATCGCCCTGCCGCCCACTCCGAGTCAGTTGGGTGGTTTATCGAGGCATCCCCTTTCGCCCCTCCATACCCTCCATCCCACCTCATCGTCGCTTCCTTTCTTTGGTCACACGCCTCTTGTAAGAACTTGCTGTGCGCCTTCTTCGCTGCCCACCCACAAGAGCGCCCTTTTCCTTCTACTGCTGCTTGTACACACAACTGCATATTTGCATCATATCCAACCTGACATCTTCCCCCCTCCGACAAATCCATCTCATCGCTTCAACTTCATCCCACGACGCCCGCCCTGCTTCTTTCCCGCCTACTATCCGCCGCCACCTCACCGTTACAAATACTCCAACATCATGGCGCAGAAGCGATTGATGAGCGAATATCAAACCCTGCAGAAGGAGAAATGGGTTCACATTGATGTCGACGAACGGAATGTCTTGAACTGGAAAATTGGCCTCATGGTCGTCAACCCCGACAGCGCCTTTAACGGAGGCTATCTCAAGGTTTGTTTGATCTGCCCCCAGTCCACATACTAAATAAAGCACACCGCTGACTGACTTTCTAGGCCGAGATGACGTTCCCTCGAGACTACCCATACCAGCCTCCCACCTTCCGTTTCCTCAATAAGAATATCTGCCATCCGAACATCTACACCGACGGCAAGCTCTGCATCTCCATCCTCCACACTCCCGGCGAAGACGAGCAGTCTGGCGAGCAGGCTTGCGAGCGTTGGTCTCCCTTGCAGGGCGTAGAGTCGGTCTTGCGCTCTGTCCTGCTCCTTCTTGACGACCCCGAGATCAACTCTCCCGCCAACGTTGACGCGAGCGTCCTGTACCGTGACAACCGTTCCGAGTACCAGAAGAGAGCGCAAGAAACGGTCGCGAAGTCCAAGAAGGACATTCCCGAGGGTGTGGTCTTCCCCACGACCGCTGACCTGGAGCCCGTGCCTCAGAAGCCCATCGACGACGACGCGTTCTGGAACGAGACGGACGATGAGGGTGACTTTGATTTGGGCGGTAGCGATAGCGACTTCGACATGGACGAGTACAACGAGGACGATGAAGACGAGGATGCGGACGACGATAAGCCTTGAATCCGACCTCGGACACGAGGCTCGACCCAGCACACACACGCACACTTTCCTGCTCCAACTTGAACCTGCGACACCAAAAGCAAACACTTTCCGGCAGGCGTCGTGACTCGGCGGCGGTGGACTCATTCTCCATTTCTTTCATTTTCTACATCTATCTTCCTCTACACGCATGATAATGCATAGCGACGGCCCCGGGCGTTTTACCGGCTGTCAGCATGGAGCACGGCCTGCTTAGGCTAACACGGCGTCTTGGTTTTTACGGGTTTGGCATCATTCGATCTCTGAGGAGGGCTTCTGGGAAGGGCTCCCACATAGGGATACGGGAGTTCATATTTGGCTCCGCAAAAGCAGAGAATCAGAAAGGGGGGGGGGGGCGGGATTCAATAGTTTGGTGGCTGATTGGCAAACCAAGCAGCCGACAGCGCATGAGATACCGCACATAGACCAATCAATGACCTCACAATTGAACAACTACAGAGTGCGCCACTCTGGAAAAAACTAGCAAGGCTTGATTATCTGAGAAAGCATACCGTACCATGTGCGGGTAATAGTGGCCAATAATCAAGACTTGCCTGGACGTTCTCAGCCAATCTGTCATACCTATGCGTACTCTGGCGGTCACTGTCCATTTGCCGCTTGTTGGCGCAACATTGCTCGCGAGTACTTGGCCGGCAGTGACCGTAAACGTGCACGCCGTTCCCGATCCTTCAGCGCCGTAAGGAGTTTAAACTGTAAACTTGCCCCGCTAACACCCTCAACATCCATGAGGGCTATCAACTACCTTGTCTTAACCTTTTACCAAGCAGATGACAACTATTGGGAAGAGAAAGTAAGTAATGAATGGAACCGAATTTCCCGAGAAGCTCAATCATAGAGCTTGATCTACATCTTTACCTTAGTTATGATCCGAAGTCGGGGTGCCTATGGGAGCAAGAGCATTGGTGACGCCAGATAGTGGGGAAGTGTCTTCGTGCCGCTGCTAAGAACGCACTGTCCACGAGAGCACCCGGCAGGCCAGCTCATGGGGCCTTCCCAGCACGGGTCTACGTACTTGCATGCCACTTCCACTTCCCTAGGTACCTACCAAATCGAACGTGAGGTGTCCCGACGAGATCTGACGACAAGACGAACGGAGTGAAATTGAAAGTCCGCTGGCACTGCCTTATCCCGTACCATTGCTGAGTGCTGCCTTCCGACCTTCTTCCGCATCTGTACGGGCAGCAGCTCGCCTAGAGCGGTCACCTTCACAGCACGTCGGGTCTATTCCGTTTGGCACTATTACTCCTCCGAACCTCTCTGGCAAAGCTACATGCGCCAGGCCACCTGCGACTCTAGTCCATCTTTCTCGATCGCCATGCGCAATTACCCTCGATCCTTCCTCCACTATCGCTTCTAATCGACCCATTCCCAACGATTCGATTCGGCAACGAGATACTTGTCTGAGGGGTAGCTCTACAACATGGCGCCCGAACCAACGGCTGAGGACGTTGACAACTTCCTCGAGTTCTCGGGCCTGGACCCCGCTAGAGACCGCAATATCGTGATCACCGCGCTCAAGGTGAGAGGGCTACGGCTGATGGACATCTGCGATGCTTGTTCTCCCGACAGAAGGGCTGACGTGGAGTACAGAGCAACAGTAATCGGGATGAGCTTGCGTCAGAGGTCTTGATAGATGGAGTCGACGTGGTTTGTCGAGCCTGGTCAGAGATCTCTGTATCACAGCTAACGGGACTTAGTTCCGGAGGAAGTATACATGGGACGACACAGCATTCGGAGCCAGTCGTGACGGAGAGCCGAATCACACGGGTATAGGTGCGTTTGTTCTTGCACCCCCAGCCGCTGTAGACATTGTGTTGCTGACTCTTGCTGGCCAGCTTTCAACATCGAGGCCCCCGACAATGCCGTCATACAAGGCGTTACCCCTCCACCCGAAAACGGCTTCTACGGCCCTTCGGCAGGCGCTCCCTCACGACCTCCATCGAGAACAAATAATCGATCGCCGCTTGGTAGGATGATAGACTGGACGACCGGGGACCTTTCCGGTACTGCCTTCCCTGTTGTGTGGGACTCTGGCTGACCATGGACATTAGGAGCTCCCAGTACTGCTGCGCAAGAAGAGGACGATTATAACAGGGCTATTCGCGATTCCCAGCGGGACGCAGACTACATACCTCAGGAAGCCGGCGTCACGGGCGGAAGCGCCAACGCCCCGCACTTTGGGCCTGCCAATAGGTCTGACTACGACTCGAACAGCTGGGCTATGGTGACGACCGCAACGAGCTCGTACCAAACGACAGTGGACGACGATCCCGCCCCTTCTGCGAGAAAGCGAGAGGATGACGCCCCGGCATTCCTTGTTCAGAGAACCACGGCACGCACGTCGAAGCACCATCTGGATAGTGTGTTGACGATTCTGCATGAGATTCCGCTTGCACGCAATATCTTATTGCAGGGTGGTGAACAGGCCGCCAGCTATGGCCACAACAGCGAGTGGTGGAAAGGTCAACCGATCTATGCCCCTCACGTCCTGGCCGCCATGAACCAAGGTGACCTCCAGTGGGCCGACGACACGAAGCCAGACTTTTATGAGGAGATTCATCGTCTGATGGCCTTTCTGGATCTGACTGAGAGAAGCTATGGATCCATTGATTCCATGGCCGATCTGATTCCCAAAACCAACTTTGCTACCGAGAGACAGTTCTTTGATACTCTCGTCGAGAAGACCGATGCCGATGTCATCAAGCCCCTGACGCACCTAGCATGCCCCATGTCTACAGACACCTTGGAGAAGACTCAAGACCCACACAGATTTGCGTTTTTGAACTTTGAGTTAACAAAGAGCCAATATGAAAAGACGACATCTCTGTATGAGGCTTGGAATTGGATAGTGTGGCACGATGTCATGACGTGGCTGGAGCTCAATGCGGATACGGGAATGGTTGTTCTCGATGACATGGGGGAGGTCATGACAGTCGTTATCGATGGTGATGGTACACCCGACAAGCTCGACATTCCCGAAGTCTGGTATCCAGAGCGATACCTTGAGAGCCGAAAACAGGAGGCAAAGATTTGTCAGGAACATCTTGCGTGGGTGCATAGGATGCTCTACGATGCAGAATCTAAGGAGTTCGAGCTTACCAAGTGGATTGATCCGAAGACCGACAAGGTTCACAATAAAGAGGAAATGTTGGAGAAGACGATCAAGGAGTACGAGAGCCACGTCAATTACCTAGACGGCCTGGGACGGTTCAGAGAGCTGCGAAAGTCAGATGACGACGAGCAAGGCAACCTCCGCCTAGAAGACGTGCCGTGCGTCTTATCTGAAGCCGAAGAGGAACTCTTCCAAAGCTCGCAAAAGGTGCTTCAGAGATGCAAGTGGCAGCTTGCTCAAGTCAGAGAAAAGCAGCAGAGTACGTCGAGGCGCATGTTTACCATCTATTTGTCGGTCACTAATCATGGAAGCAGAACTCAAGTGGGAGCGTGAGAGGCTTGAGGAAAGGAAGCAGTATCTCAACACTATACTGACTAACCCCGACAAGCCAGGCTTGAGCAAGCCCTTCACTGGCAAGAAGTACCTTTTAAGGGGAATAGCAACACAGCAGAACGTGACATATGTGTGCAAGCGAGCCGAGCCGGCACTCATTGACATTGATGAGACGCCGACTTCGGTAGATCAGTGGTGGCGGCTGTCGTATAGTGCGAAGCAATATGCAAAGGCCGAGGTAAGCGCGGCTGCAACATGCTCTTCTCAAAGTGTCGTGACCACTGACTTGTAATAGAAATACACCTTCCAGCAGGTGGTGGACTCGATCTACTTTGAGACCAAGAACCCGTTGCTCGTGTATGCTACCGAAGACGCAATCAACACGCCTGTGGCACCTCTTTCAGACGCCCTTTTACGATTCGCCAAGGCCGAGAACAAGATTTTCAGACAAGAATTGAACCAGGAGAACACGGAGGAAGTAGCCAATTTGAGAAACACCAACATGTCGCCAATTTCGCCATCCAAGAGGAAATACCGGTCGGGCAGTGTCGACTCCATGGCCACCAATCGAGCCTCGTTGGGCAATAGCGATACAAACTCCCGCGCTGGGGATTTCGAGATTGAGGCGGGTCCATTCGGTGACGGAGACGGCACCATGGACACGGAAATGCCCGACCTATCAACCAGACAAGGCAACACAGAGACACAAGACTCGAGCTTAGCCCAAGTCATGTACTCTAGTGAGACACAAGACAAGGCGCAAGGTTACGACATCAACGCGCCCGGCATCGGACAGGACGGACTTTCGACCAGTATCCCCACTGACGATGTCACGGAGATTAGTCGTACAGTGACGCCAGACGTGGACGTGGAAGAGCCAGCCAAGGGACCCGAGATGCAGGAACGGAGCGGAAGCGGGGCCGGATCGCCATTCATGGCTAGACACTCGATTTATGGAACGGCACACGACCCCAGAGATGAGCAAAAGACGATAAAAATGATGGATATGGAGATTCCCGACGAGCATCAGTAGCATGCATACTGGAGAGCATCACAGGAGGAAGTTTGGACTAAGACTCGCAGAGGCATAGCGATACAGGCAAAGTCTTGAGAGAAGCAATACAGCAAGCATCTTTTGCTTCTCGACGACTCTACAGCACAACACAGCGCAACACGGCATTGCCTTGTAATGATGACGATGTATGCAATAGGCGATGAAATGATCAATCTTTGGATACCCCATTACCTTGGTGACTCGAGTATGCGAGCCTAGATGGAAGGATTGAAGTTGTACTTCACTATCAAGACCTGTCTTGTATGACGGATAACTGCGTAGAAGGTTCTCGAAGGTTCTTATTCTAGTAGGAGAATGGGGAGACGTTGCAGGGATGTGGTGGCTTGATGCGGCGCTCGAGCCACGGCATGAGCCTGACTCCGCTATTCCCGCACGGCAAGAGACCCCGCCATTTTCGTCATTGTCCATTTGCGACCGCTTCCCTGCTGCCCAAAGAGCTCTCTTGCTGATGATCCTCGTCTGGAATGAAGGATATCATGAACATATCTCAGGGCCCCGTTTGCTGAATGAATGTATACTATCCAGATGTAGAGGATTGTACCTGTAATCAGACAACCTCGAGACCAAAGGCTTGACTGGAAGAGCCCCATCCAGCCTTTCTGCGCTCTTCCATCGAGGCAGCTCGAGTGAGATCACCCGATCCGACGCCCCGCCAGGTTTTGGGTCGCAAAGTTGCACGGGGACGGGGGTGTGCGATGGTCAAGGCTCCCCCTCCTTCCTCCTGCTGCCCTCTCCCTTCCCACCCCCCCCTGGCTCTTTGGGGCTGGGCTCCTCTCGAGAGACGGGCACCGAACCTTCCACAATCGCGCCCTGTTTCTTCCATTGAAGACGGCCGGGGAGGAGGGGGGGACATTTCTACCACTAAGACGCTCTGGGCTCCCCTCGGTGACCCAGTATTTCTTGGCTTTTTACCTTGCGCAGTAAGGACCAACTTTACCTTACGTAGGTACATATCACGCACCGAGACCCAGACAGTCGGCTGCGCATCATCCAACCATTCTCTCCAATTCTTCTTTTCTTTAAAAACTACCAACCTGGTTTTTTTCTTCTTGCTTTTCATTACACGCACGTCGATTGACTGCATAAGCAAAACAACTTCCAAGGGTTCAGACATATAACCCCCCCTTAAGTAACACACGAAAGACACCATCAGCGAAGACAAGTCACAGGTCGCTGCGATATCCACACTACTTTTACCCTCCCGTTTAATTGACTGGTCGACTTTTACACGACAATCACCCGACAGTCATACACAATGGTGAAAGAAACCAAGCTGTACGATCAGCTGGGCGTCAAGCCCACGGCGACGCAGGACGAAATCAAAAAGGGCTATCGGTAAGTCGCAACAGCTTTCCATGATTCTCATTTCTCCTCTTTACCCTATATGCCCCTCACTTATCTTTTGCCTGTCGTTGCCCAACGAAGTGGCCCAATCGCCCTATTTGCCTCCACACACGACCATCTCAGACCGTAACTTTTGCTAACCACCTCACGTGTATAGGAAATCCGCACTAAAGTGGCACCCCGACAAGAACAAGGATAACCCAGACGCCGCCGAAAAGTTCAAGGAATGCTCCCAAGCCTACGAGATCCTCTCCGATCCTGAGAAGCGCAAGACGTACGATGACTACGGTCTCGAGTTCCTGCTCCGCGGCGGCGGCGCCCCTCCCCCAGATGCCGGCGGCCCCAACCCCTTCGCCGGGGGTGGCATGCCCGGTGGATTCGACTTTGGAGGAGGAGGAGGAGGAGGAGGAGGAGGAGGCATGCCCGGCGCCGGCGGCGCACGCACGTTCCGCTTCAGCACCGGGGGAGGCGGCGGCGCCAACGGCTTCAACTTTAGCTCGGCAGACGACGTCTTTGCCGAGTTCATGCGCTCCGGTGCTGGCGGTATGGGCGGTGCTGGTGGCGGCGCGGGCGGCATGGACGACTTTTCCGACATCTTTTCGACGTTTGGCGGTGCCGGCGGCCCGCGCGGTGGGCGATCACAGCGCATGCGCAGCAGCGGGTTCGGCGACTCGCCGAGGGCGAGGGAGGCGACGCCCGAGGTCACGACGGTGGAGCGACCCCTCCCGCTGACGTTGGAGGAGCTGTTCCGTGGCGTGACGAAGAAGATGAAGATTAAGCGCAAGACCTTTGACGACACGGGCAAGAGGACGACGACTGATACGGTTCTCGAGGTGCCCATCAAGCCCGGTCTGAAGAAGGGCAGCAAGATCAAGTTCAAGGGTGTTGGCGACCAGGAAGAGGGCGGCCAGCAGGACCTGCACTTTATCTTGGAAGAGGTACGTTCACACACATCTCTCTGTTTAACACTCGAGTGACATTACGATACTAACAAATCATACAGAAAGTTCATCCCTTATTCGTGCGCGAAGACAACGACCTGGTTCACACCGTCGAGCTGGATCTGAAGGAGGCCCTCACGGGCTGGAAGCGGACGGTGACGACGATCGACGGCAAGCAGTTGAACCTCGACAAGAACGGCCCCACACAGCCCGGCAGCTCCGACCGGTACCCCGGCCTGGGCATGCCCATTTCGAAGAAGCCCGGAACGAGGGGCGACTTTGTCATCAAGTACAATGTCAAGTTCCCCACGAGCTTAACGCCGGCACAGAAGCAACAGTTGAAGGAGATTCTGTAAAGAATTTCAGTAGCGAGGAAGAGTGAGAGGCGCAGAGAAGACGTCAAGGCAAGGCGACGCGAGTGTTGCGGAGCGTTGGACCGTAAACAAGAAGATGATATTTGGGTTCAGGGGCCGGTATGCTCATCATGAATAGGAGTTTGGGGCGTGGTTTGGTTCTTTGTTTTTTTCAAGGGCTACAGGGTTGGCCTTTTTCCTTTTTCTTTTTCCCCTCCATGAGCATTGCGCATTTCATGGGCAGGCAACACGAAATGAGTTACTGGCGGGAGGTGATGCCTGCGCAGAGATACTTAGATATGAAATAATTCAAGCTTGAGACTATATTGATACGGATTCAAATATGTTATCGTGACATGTGTGAATGAAGATTGGCATCAATGAGGTGGTCCTTTTGGTTGATGAATTGAAACAGTTAGAAAGAGTTGTCGTGATAGAGAGGTTCTAAGGCGAACATAATTGCGCAAGATAATACGACCGGAGTCAATCTCGAGCACTAAACATTATACGATTGGAAATCTGCAATAGAATTGACTTTTTTTCTCTTCAAGTGGCTGGCAGTTCACGATCAGGCTTCGGTGACGACATCGGCACGACTAGGTACCTAGACGGGCTCAGGCGGGCACCTCGGGACCGAAGTAGCCAGTCAGCCAGCCTCATCCCAGGTCTGCTGTGCTTGAGTTCCATGTTCATCCGGCGTCGACCGAGCGAGCTGTATCCTTGCGTTTCTCACCTACTGACCTAATTACATACCTGAGCTGCCATGATGTAGTTTTCATCATCATGTTCAAGGTTCGACGGCAGGGAATCGGGTCAAAAAGTAAGGGTTAAGGGTGGCCGAGAGAGAAATGGATTCCATCCAGATCGCCTGCCCCTTGATGCTTATGATAGGAAGGGAAGGGGAAGGGGAAGTTATACCATCCCCTTCGCCTTCCTGTCTGGTTAGCCACTTTTCATCACTGTGTAATTACAAGTGCGCCTTGTCTCCCTTCTCCTTTGGTCCATCAACCCGCTCAGTTGTTGGATTGTCCCCCGCTATTCACTGTTATACGGAATTGCAATATGCAATACGGAGTATTTAGCGCAAGGTGGGGTTGGAATGAAATCTCTCAGGGCCGTCTCCCCGACTTCCCCGGCTCTAGCTCGGCAGAAACTCTGTTCGTAGCTGGGCGGCGGGTTCGGGAGTCGGGATGATGGAGCGCGGGTGTTTGCGCGGGTGCGGGGGTGGTTTACTTAAACGTGGGCTGATCGCGATCACTCTTGCCTTTATTATTACTACTACTACTACTACTACTACTACTATCGGGTATCAAGAAATGTAGGATTCTTGTGAGCAGTTGTAAGCAAGTACCCTGAAAAGCAAGTAAATGGCGCATCAAGCCTGCTTAGGCGGCCCGGTTAACAGGTTTTCGCGCTGCGGTCTGCTTCACGAGCTTTGAGTACTATCTATGTAGGCGGCCGTGTACTCGAGCCCGCGGTAATGACGACAACTTCACATGCGGGAGATGGGCGACGGCGCCCAGTGAAGGACGGGATGGGGACGCCCGTGGGTTTGGAGGGGTAAAAGCGTTGGTGGGGCCCCTCATTCTACCTTGAGCAGCACCAGCATCGATGCAAGTGCTGTCGGGTGTTGTAAGGCCATTTTCCCGCCATACCTGGCTGCTCCAGGCCCAAGTTACCTTACTTGCGTGTTATTTTCCGAGGCTCTCATTGGACTCATCGGGACGACAATAATGAACAGCCGGCTTGGAGGAAGAGGGGGGGTAAAGGGGCGGGCGCGGGAGAAAGACGGAAAGGAATGGAAAGAGAGACCTTTTCGGTTTCCTGGGAGATGCTTTAGACGGGTAAGGTAGAAGAAGTCTTATTCTACCTTAATTCACTCAGTAGCTTATTTCTTCTCCGTCCCTCCCTCCTCTCCATTGCAAGGTTCCCAGTTCTTCAAGCCCCCAGTTCTTCAACCCCCCAGTTCTTCAAGCCCTCAGCTCAACCAAGGTTTCTTTGTCAATTGGTCTCGGACAATAAGTTTCGCCTGCCTTATAGATAGCTTACTCCTCCCCCCTCCAGACTCAGCTCTCAGCTCCAGTGAACCCCGCTCTTCACAAGACAGCTCTCCACCTCAACCCGGAATAGCATCCGATTCTCTGTGAATTAACCGCCAACATGCCTCAAGTAAGTCATGATGAGAAGCCCCAACCTTGACCCCCCTTTGCGTCCGGAGCGCGATGACCTGGACTAACAACTAACCACCACATCCAGATCACTACCCTCCTCTTCGACTGCGACAACACCCTCGTCCTCTCCGAGGAACTCGCCTTCGAGGCCTGCGCCGACCTCATCAACGAGATCTGCGCCTCCCGCAACATCGAGCAGCGCTTCACGGGCGAATCCCTCATCAAGGAGTTCGTCGGCCAAAACTTCCGCGGCATGCTCCTCGGCCTCGCCAAATCCCACGGCTTCGAGCTCCAGCCCGACGAGCTCGAGTCCTACGTCACCCGCGAAGAGGACGCCGTCATCGCCAAGCTGAAAGCCGCCCTCAAACCCTGCGCGGGCGTCGACGACCAGCTCGAGCGCTTGCAAAAGGACGGGAAGCATACTCTGTCCGTCGTCTCCTCGTCCGCTAAGCGCCGCGTCTGGGCGTCCGTCGTGAAGGTCGGGCAGGATAAGTATTTTGCCGAGGATGTCGTCTTCAGCGCTGCCACGTCGCTGCCGACGCCTACTAGCAAGCCTGACCCCGCGATTTACCTGCACGCCATGAAGACGCTAGGCAAGAAGCCCGAGGAGTGCGTTGCCATCGAGGACTCCAAGAGCGGGACGCTCAGCGGTACGCGCGCGGGTATCAAGGTTATCGGGTATGTTGGGCCGTATGCCGCTGATAAGCAGGCCGAGATGGAAAAGGTGCTGCGCGATGCTGGGGCTGTGGTCGTCATGAAGGACTGGAGCGAGTTCCCTGGCATGTTGGCCAAGATTGAGAGCGGGAGCGCCTGACTAGCCGGGGTTTCTATCCCGTCGCCTTCTCTGTGAGGTTGAGCTGCGGCGATGTAGAGGGATCATGATGCTTTGATCTCTTTATCCCAACCCCCTTTTTCCTTTCCTCCCATCTTTATAGTGTTCATATCGTTAGTCAGGACCGGTACCGTCCCAGTTCTCGCGCGCTTTATCAAGCCGCCCAGGGGAGAGGAGGAATCCAAGTAGACTCAAAGACTAGTAAAAGAGATCTATCATCTTCGATGGTCCATGAGAAAGCTGTTGACGCTCTGCAACGTAGCCCGATTCGCATTGGCCTCCGGAAAGGCCGTCATGATGGTCCCCAGCTTCACCCGGATCATGTCCTTGTTGAAAAACGTCGTCGAGTCCGCCACGCGAAAGTTGCCGTCCCGGTCGAAACACCAGCAGTAGATGGCCAGCGCGGCGCCAATGGATAGATCCTTACCCGTCTCGCAGGCCGCGAGGACGCTGCCGCTGCTGCTGCTGCTGCTGCTGCTGCTGTCGTTGTCGCCATCCGTGCTCTCGGCGCCATTCACATCGCGATGTGACGAATCGAGGTACCCCGAGACAAAGGCGCAGATATCCGGCAACGCCTGCCGGAGATTCCGGCTCGCGACCTTGTGCTTCCCGAGGCCGACTTGCATGTACGTCGGGGATTTCACCCACGACTCCCGCGGCGTGACGTCCTGTGTCAGTACGACTCTGCACGCGCCCGCACCCGCGGACGCAGCATCCGTATCACCACCGCTGTTGTCTTGACCATCGTCCAGGGGTAACGGGCACACGTAGATCCGCGGCGCAACTTGCTTCGGCTGCACCCCCCTCGGCGCATTCCTTTTCTCCTCCGCGACGAGACGAACAACCATCTCTGGTAAATCAGCCTCAGGGCACGAGAGCAAAGCCGCGGCGTTGGCCCAGAAGATTTCTGCAGTCAGTCCTAGAGCCCAGTTCTCTGTGTCGTCGCCGGCGCCTTGGATGTACCCCGCCTCGCTCATCTCCGTGCCGGCGACGCGGCGGGAGGAGGTGCAGCATATAATAGGGTGGTAGTCTTCAAAAACCACATTCCCATTCTCGGCATTGTCGTCGTCGCCCGCAGACGTAGTCGACGACGGAAGCTGCGTCTCCTGCGTGACCCAAAACGGCCGCAGGGGCTTGGAGATGTGCGCGCGGAGGGCCGCGAGGTCGAGGTCGAGGCTCTTTAGGGAGGCGAGGAAGGACGGGAGGAGGGCGGCGATTTGGGCGTGCTCCGAGGCGGAGACGACGTTGGGCGGGGTGAAGAGGCGGAGATGCTTCTGCCGCGCCGGGTCGAGGGCGAGGTCTGGGAAGAGGGCTGCGTTGAGGACGGCGCACCAGATTGGTATTGTTTTGCTTAGGGCGTCTGGCATTCCTGGGCGGATTGTGTTAGTCTTGAGGTTCTTGGATGTACTTGTGGATGGGTTTGATAGTGGTGGACTTACTCTTGCCTCTGCGGGTTGAATCTACGATGATGCAGCTGGGGTCCTCATTCAGCTTTGTTCTTACAAAAGCAGTTTATATCGAAGGCATCTATCTCCTTCTCCAGTATGCACTCATGCCACCATCACCACAATCTCACACACACCACGGTAAAACTCACCCATCATGCCTCCCAACAAGCTCAAGCAAATGCAAATTCAACCTCCGCGTACTAAACTTCCACGCATTCGTATGCCCATCCGTACTCTTAAAGTACGCGCTCGCCCTCTTATCCGCAGGCCGGATATACCAGCTCCCGCAGCGCTCGTTCGCCACAAGCGGACGGCCGAAACTCGCGGACACATCTTTGACGAACTCGGCGTCCTGCGTGATGGAGCGAAGCCTGTTTGCGATGGAGAGGTTGGCGCGCTTGAGGTCCGTGAGGATGTGGGAAAAGTTGTGGTTTGCCGTCGTGGGGAAGATGAGGTCGGAGAGGGCGGGCGCCGCAGCGGCGGCTGGGATTTGCGCCATGGCCTTCGTTTGAGTGAAGCTTGGAGGGGTGAGAGCTCCGGGATAGGACAGGGGTGTGTTTGGATTGAAGAACTATCTTATCCAAGGTGAGATTGAGTGAAGTTGGAGGGGTGTTGTACAAGATTGGTTCTGTCTAGGGCTCGAAATGAGGCACGTCTCAGTCGTGAAATTTCACTTGTGGATTGCCCTTTTTGCACTGTGCTTGCGCCTGATATTTGGTGCAAAAGCAGTGTCATTCAGCACTGTATGGATGCGAGGCGACTCATTCATCGCATCTCATTTAGATAACACCGTTTATAAGATTGTGAGGTCATGTTTCATAGCATTCATATTTCAAGTTTAGCTGCTGGCTATGTGATGAGTTGATGCCATGGGTTGAATGAGACTCAAAAGGGATCAGAGGCATTGGAGACATTGTGGGAGAGACATTGAATGAGGCTTCATTTTCATGTCCGTGCTGAATTCTAGGTGCATTCAGCCGCAGGCTGCTGCCATGCGCTCACTCAGATGTCGTCCCAAGATTACCAAAGTTCTGTGCTGCCGCCGCCGCCGCCGCCGCCGGAATCTTTCGGGCCGGATTTGACTCGGTAACGCCGACGAGTTGAAGACGGAGAAGATGATGGAAATACCGGAACATCAAAAACATCTCCCCGCCTTTTTCGCGTCGTCAAGATGCGCCGGCAGATAGTATATTGGCAACACGCAAGCAAGAGTGGCTATGTCGGGTACAGCCAAGATGGGCGACGCAACTGTCGCTCACTCGCTCGCTCGCTTGCTTGCTGTGCGGGTGAGATGCTTTCTCTGCACCCCAGTAAATGGCTTGTATCCGTGCTGCGGCCGTGGATGGAGGGGGACCCGTCTTTACATAGCATCGGGCGGCAAAGACTTACGCCATTGTATCCACCCCTACGGATACACCAGGGACTCTATTTTCCTGGCGCAAGTCGTACGCAAGGGCATATGGTGCGTGCCCTCTTCCCGCTCTGGCGATCAGACCAACAGCTCTTGATGTGGGAGAGAAATAGACAGAGAGATTCGCCTTCGATGGAGACGCACTCGGGGTTCCCGTCTGTCAAGATCAAGGTCTTCGTCTGTGGAATGGACTGCGTTCACAAGGGCTCTCAAGGTCTTGAGGCTCTGGGGACCCTCTCTCCTCTGGTCTCGTACGAGAGACAACAGTTGCCCTGTGACCAAACAACGCAAGGCCGATTGGACCTTGAGTGTCGCAATCTTGACCTAGATGGTAGGGAGGAGGGAGGGGGAGCGCTGGGCGGCTCAGCCGTTGTGCGCGTGGACCATCCGGAATGCGGCGGCAGCGGGCTCGTGTTAGCTTCTTGATCTTGCCAGGTTCTCAGAAGCTTCTGAACAGTCTGTCAGTCCAGTCCGTCAGTGCCAATTGTCAGTGTCGCGCGCGCATTTCTGTGGCGGCTCCGTGATGCTGACAGTTCCGGGTCCGGTCGCAGAAAAGATCACATCCCCCAAAGTCCTGCCTGGCGGTCATCTCGTCTGCCGTGGGTTGCCGTCCAAGAAATAGAGGCCCATTATCGTCTGCAGGTTGTCATCATTGATGATCGCCGTCCGGCCTTCCTTCCCCCTGCCGCCGCGCATCACCCCAGACAACCGTGACAACCAGGACGTTTTAGCATGCAGCAAGAAAACAGCAGCAAAGCAACAGCGAAGCAACGACCAATCCAAACGTCGGAGAAAATCAGGGCTCGCTGGCTTTCGGTAGCAGAAACAACGGCGCGTCAGCCTTGGGCTTGCGCCGGTCGACGGTTGAGAAAATACGAAAGGCACCATTGAACTGGTGCGTGGCTTCCTCTACCTTAGGCTCTCTGTACCTTGAACGTCGTCCGTTTGGCTAGCAATGCGGCGACGACCAAGTACATGGACACATGGTGAACCATAGGGCCACAGGGCAAAGGGGACGAAAAGGTAATAAAATAAAATAAAAGAGACGGGTTCGAACTATTCGCTCGGGGAGGCGTGGCGTGCAGGGATCTATTGCTCAGCTGGTCGCACTCGAGGGACGATAATTCGCTGCCTGGGATGCAGTGGCGCAGTGTAAACCCAGCGGTTGAGTGGCTTGGTTCAACCCAAGTTTTCCGCAGTCTGCCTCATGCCCTCATCCCAACCTGTGTGGAATCCATCCGTTCATGGACTGTCCTTGGACCGTGAGCCGTGAGTTCGCATTGGTGTCCGTCCCATTGCGCGTAGAGGTTCCGCAGCATCGGGGCTGCAAAGTGGCCGTAGATGGGATCCTGGTTGAAGCCTCAAGGTTATGGTCGAGAAGAGAAAGAATGATTACACTGCAAGTTGTCCGTACCGCCTGGAATGATTACATGCCTGCCTACCTAACTCAAGCCTTACCGTGCATCCGTAAGGTACCTTGGAGGCTTAGGTAAGGCAGGAAAGACAAGAAAGATGACGGGAGCTTCAGGCGCGGCTTGGACCCACCCCTCCCTCTGCCGGGCGTCCACTCCACTGCCCACTGCCCACTGTACCTTACTCCGTAGGAGGGAACGAGTCGTTGCCCACTGAATCCACGTCTCGTCACTGCCGCAATTCGAGGCCAGCTGGGGCTGTTTCGTTTTAAAGACAAGAAAAGGCAGACGCGTCCCCCAAAGCCACTTTGCTCCTTCTGTTCCTGATTTTCCGTCTATTACCTCCCATTTCCCTCACCCTCATCTCACTCACACACTTCCAAGCTTCTCTCACAGATACTTTTCAGTGTTTCTGAACAACAGCGAACAGCACCTCACCCGACACTCGTTCCCACAACCCGAACAACCCAAGCCAGCGAGCTACCTTACATCATTTCAGCGGGTTTCCTTATCGATTGGCCCCCAAAACCCCCCCGTCCACTGGTTCCGATCCCTGGGTTGTCTCGCCAAACCCCGTTGCCGAGCCGGATTGAGTTTGATCTTTATTTAGAAGGGGAAAAAAGGCCAGGGGAGCAACAGTCGCATAGCTGACAACCTCCTCCCATCCTACATCCCCCTTTCGATCACAAACGTAGGGAAACCCTACTAGATCACCAGTAAAACCGACATTTTCGACGACTCGACGACAAACATGCTCGGAAACCTAGACTTCGACCCGGAATACGTCCCGGGCGTCAAGCTTGGCCTGCATATCTTCCAGTTCATTCTGTCCTTCGCAATCTGGGCATTGGAAATTGCAGTCTTTAGAGCCGATAATGCCAAAATCGTCGGCAACAATGGCTGGACGTTCGGAGTGGTAAGGCAACCTATCAGGAAAACGATGCTAGTCTCGCGGTATCCAAATTGCTAACAGTCGCATCGCAGTGCTTCCTTTCGCTACCGGCGTGGATTTACCTGATTATGGCGCCGCGGTGGCCGAGAACGAGAAAGCTGGCCAACCCCTACGCTATGGCCATCGTAGACGCCTGCTTCTGCATCATCTGGCTTTCCGCTTTCGCAAGTCAGGCCGCGTACAACACGGCCAACCAGTGCGGTGACGGCTGCAAGCTCAGCAAAGCCATTGTCGGCTTGGGTGTTTTCGTCTGGTAAGTCTTAAGAGAACCCAGATCACAGCTTTTCAAGAAATGATGCCAACAACTGCCCGACAGCCTTCTTTTCGGCGGCAGCACCTTTATCAGTCTGTACACCCTCAAGTACTACCAGTTCCACGGCAAGCTCCCTGGCTACGACAAGGAGAAGCTCGGCGGTGACAACATCGATCCCGACAAGGCCGCCTTCTCTATGGCGCCTCACGACGAGGAGGCATACGCCCCTGTCCAGATGGATGACCACAATGACGACAACACAACTCTCTACGGCGGCAACGCCACCGGCAACCACGGATACGCCAACAACAGCTACGGCAGCCGCTTCGGCGCCGGCAGCTCAGCCTACGGCGAGGACGACGACCCGAACCGCTATGGATCCCTCCCCTCGCGCCAGAACGGCGCCATGTTCGACAGCGAGACCGAGTACCACTCTCAAACCCATCCCCAGAGGCCCATCTCCACCAGCCCCGCGGCAGCGGTACAACCGTACTCTGCCCCTGAGCCGTACGGCGCAGCACCCGCCTACGATGACGACCGACCCGCGCAGTTCCCTTCCGCGCCCTACGATCGCGCGATGCATTAAGATGAAGAACCTGTTCTTTCAGCGGGAGATTATTCCAGTGTGAGGGATTTGTGATGGCAGGGCCACAGCCCGAGCAAAACCTGGCCCCGGGTTTGGTTTGATGAAGGGGGACGCACTGTGCCGTCCAGTGTTCACATAGACGGACTTGGATTTTTATTTTCCGGATTACGGGGTGTTGTTGGCGTCCCATTTGTAACAAAGGTAATCGTAAAGATACCAGGCATGAAGCTCTCTCTAGGTAGACATCAAATTTGATGACATGACGATCAACAGTCAATGATTAAAAAATTAAAAAAATGCGCATCTTGCTGTTGTAGTGAACATGTGGAATATTTTGTTTTATGCCCAAAGTTTTCATCTGAAAACGCCGTAAACTCCTCGAGGGGAAAACGCGACAGTATTTCCTCTATGGCCAGGCTTCTTACCACCGATCAACATGCAACATGAGTGACCCCCTTTTAGAACTTTTCTTTCTCTTGCCCCAAAATTCTCTCTCTTCCCTCTTTTCCGTCTTCATTCCCCACTGCTTCTCAGCTTCTCTTTCTCTCCCAAATCCACCCTCGACAGACTTTAAGCCTTGCCCGTAAACCTCTTCACCCGGCGCGCAATGTCACCCCTCGTCTGCTGCATAGGATTCAACTTGCGATCCCGCACCATGGCCTCGTAATCGTCCCCGTGCTTGGCAATCAACCTCTCGAGCCACTCCTTCTCCTGGCTGCTAATATGTCTGGGCTTCTTGATCTCGGGCATGGCGGCCTCCTTTTCGAGGAGGCGGATGACTTCGGGTCTGCTCTCGTCGTCGATGCCGCCCCATTCTTCTCCTTCGTTTTCGTTGTCGTCGTCGGATTCTTCGAGGGCGTTGAGGGGGTCGTTGAGCGGGTTGCTGCGCTTGGCGCTGTTGTAGTGGATCTTGATGATTTTGCCGTCGGCGTCGCGCTCGACGCGGGCTTCTTCAAAGACTGCTTCTTCGGTTGTGGAGATTGCGAAAGTGTCGCGCTTGGCGGAGGCGGAGGAGGAGGCTTGCTCGAGTTGGGCGAGGGTCTTTTCTGTGCCGCCTGTTGCTGATTTGAGGCGGGCTGTGAGGCCTAGGCGGCGGTAGTTTTGGGTGAGGGTTTCCTTCTTGTTCCTAGACGGAGGGAGGGAATTGGTTAGCTTGGTTTTTCATTTCACGACAACTGGATCCGGTTGAAGACGGCTGGGAGTGTAGAGGGCGACGAGTGTATGTGTGCGTTCTGCGTACCAGTTCTTTGCGATAATGTCGTTGCCGAGAGGGTTGAGGAGCTTCTTGGGCCTGTGTGTCTTGACTTTGGCGCGGCCGGAGCGGCGCTTCTTCTTTTGGAGGACGGAACCCATTGTGATGCGATTGCTTTTTTTTTCTTTTCGGAAGGGCGAAGGGGGTGTGGTGGGATGGCGGGATCACGGGTAGTTTGCTAAGGTAGAATTAACGAGGTACGATGCTGGGGCGCAATGGCAGTTTGGCTGGAGGTTGCTCGAGTTGCCGCTTCTCGAATTTTTTGTTAATCTTATCTTATCGGGGGAGGGGCCACTTGGCTCATATCGGGTTAGCGCGGTACGAGTAAGTGTCGAATACCGAGATTCACCGGGTTCTCACCGAGATCCATCCCCCTCACCGGGGTACGACGCCCTCGATATCACCAACGTCTTTGAAGCCGATGTCCTCCTGTTGTATAGTTGCAGTCTAACGCCTTCTACAGTGAAGCATCGAAATTCTTCCCAAGAAGTTTAGAGAATCTTTCGATGTTGAAGGTTTCTCTGCCGTCAATCCAGGGTATCGTACATCTGCGTCGACGTATATTCATCCCCGTTATCACAATACACCACAGACAGAAACCCATATAGGTCTCCTCAACTCCATCCTCGTCACCAGCAGGCGCCCTCCTAGGTCGGGGGGTCAGGACAAACTGGCCAGGTGGTGGAGTGGTTTACGGTCGACAATCAAATTACGCCCACAGCCTACTCGACGACAGGCTACGAGTTTGAGTTTCGATTCCCAGCATGAGCACCAAGAGATGTAGCCACACCGGCGGTGAACTCTTTTTATGTTTATCTTGCATCTCATATCAATTAGATGTACATCATATTGATGAATGGCCGAGCGCAAGGTTTGGGGGCCCTAAGTCACAGTTTCGAACGAATTGAATAGCCCTTCGACAGGATGATCGTGTGCGGTAGGTAGGCTGTGATCATTCACTTCGCGTCGTCTGTAGAGGGATCGGCTTAAGTCTTGCTATGCTGCAGATGTTGTTGTCCTTTACTAGTATTGGAACTCCAGTCTGAGTGTGTTTCTCGGAAGCGGTTGGCTGATGAGGTGGTCACTTGACGGTTTTTATTGGCTGTTGTCCAGCTAGTAGGTCAACGATAATACTTCTGTTTATACGATGGAGGACTTCTGCGGCGACGGACTGCAAACATCTCAACAAACGATTGACTGGCGATTTTTCTTTCCTGCTTCCTCTAAGTTTAGTACAGTAATTCTCACGTTCTGAACCTCACGCCATGTGGGCTTACACTGCTGTTTCACTGTCTGGATACTCAGTTTTCAGGATGTGATGATACTCTGGCTTCACACCTCACCGCAATCAAGGCGATTTCCTATTCATGTCATAATTTGATTTCATTCAGCGTAAAATAGCAGATGGTATATAAGCCCTTTACATATCCACAAGTCGTCCCATAGCATCATCCCTCAACCACACACCACCTTACACCAGCTTCCAGATACCGTCGTTGACCTCAATCTTGATCTCGCGGTTCTCATCGATACTTTTCCTGCCGGCGTGGAGAATAGCCGTGGTGGCAATGGTGTTCTTGAGAGTAGGCAGGCCCTTGGCATCCAGGTCCTTGGGCTTGAGCTGGCCAGAGTTGACCTGCCGGCAGCCGTCGACGAACTTCTCGAGCGAGATGTAGCCGTATCCCGTCTGGCCGTTGAAGTTTCCGTCCTCGTCGGGCGCGTAGCGCATGTAAAAGGGGTTGTACCACATGAGCTGGCCCGCCGAGTCGTCGGCGACGTCGTAGCCGCGCTTGGCCTGGTCGACGCGGATCTCGCCGTTGGCGGCGAGGTAGTGGAAGTACTGGTTCGAGTGGACGCCGGCGCGCTGGGGCGCGGTCCAGCTGGCGGTGTAGACGCCCGTGGCCTTTTTGCTGGGGTCGCCCTTCTTCTCCCAGTGGACGAGGACGGAGATTGTGTCCTCGGTGGCCGGGTCGCAGCCGAGGTCGGTGGCGATGCCCTTTGACGCCGAGGCGGAGACCTTGACGGGGACGAAGCCCTGCTGGGTGACCATGGAGTCGCAAATGTCGACGTGGTGGCTGTTGAGGTAGTAGGAGATGTCCGAGTCGACGCCGGCCCAGGCCTTGAAGGTCTCGAGCTGGGACTTGGGCTGGGACATGTAGCTGTAAAAGTAGTTGAAGTCGCCGAGCTTCTGGGCCTTGAAGCGGGCGTCTGAGTAGGCCGGGTCGAAGCGCTTGTGGTGCTCGATGAAGACGTAAACGCCCTTCTTGTCGGCGGCCTCGATGAGGGCCTGGTGGTGCTCCAGGTCCTTGACGGCGGGCTTGGTCAGGAGCACGTGGATGCCGCGCTCGATGGCGTAGAGGGCAATGGGGTAGTGGGTGGTGTCGGGGGTGAAGATGGTGATGGCGTCGCCGGCCTTGAGGGCGTCGATGGCCGTCTTGTATGAGTCGGGGTCCTTCTTGTCGTTGGCGGGGTAGGAGTCGAAGGAGGTGTCCAGGCCGTTGTAGGCCTGGGTGATGTTCTTGTTGAGATGTTCCCCTTCGGCCAGTTAGCGTGTCACTTCAGATAGATTTGCTTGGGGAGTGGTGTCTACGTACTGATGGCGGGGAACTTTGTGCCGTTGACACCAACCATGCCCAACTGGTTGACCTTGCCTCTTCTCCTCAGGTCGAAGAGAGTCAGGCCGACGACGCCCACCTTCTTGTCCGAGCCAGAGGCACCGCCACCGACGAAGCCGGTGGTGTACTCTCCGGTACCAACCTGGTGATGGTAGGATCAGCAACTGGAACTGAGCCGGACGATTGTGAATTGGCTTACCATCAAGACGTTGAGAGGCTCCATTTTGGTCGCGTCTTTTCTTTCAATGGGTTGGAAATGTTGCGTGTGAGGGGGAGGAGAGTTTGGAAGGGAATGGAGAAGAAGAACTTCCTGGAGCTAGGAAGGACGGCGAAAGCTATGGTCTATATAAGAGAGGGGTGGGAACGTGTCAATGGGCTAAGCAGCACAACAGCTCGGGCGAGACACAGCGAGAGACAGCACAGACGAGAGAGGCGACGGGTAATAATGGGCAGGCCAAGAATGTTTTTTTTCTTCCTTGGGATGATGAAGCTCGCCGTGGCATGGCGACCAAGGAGGAGCTCCCGTCTCGTCTCCGTCACGTCTCGTAGCTACTCCACGACAAAGCTGGGCCCGGAAAAATTGAGGGGCAGAGGAGGGGGAAAGACAATTGGAGGGATTTATCTGCCCCGCACTCCGCCGTGCGTCAGCTCCCCCAGCCCAGACGCTTGACCTATCCGCTCAGATAGTACGATGGAGACAATTATAGGGAGTCCTCTGGGATGATGTGCTGTGGTGGCTTCTCTTGGCTTGTTTTGTCAGACCAAATTGAGACTGTTGGAAGAGCGAACGAGTCGCATGGCATATGCACGGTTCGTTCTTCAGCGTTGATGAGCATCAACCTGGGTCGGGAGCACATTGCGGAAGTAAGAGAGGCTTGCAGACAACTGCTGATGACGATAGTGGAAATTTGTCCCTAGCGTATGGGAAATAAGGCAGCAAGAGAGAAAAACCATGTTGCCGTCTCCGGAAACACATCCCGAGCATGACCGAAGCGACGGTGCCGTTGACGCCGGTGTTCGGAGGGGCGCACCGGCCGATTCAAGCCCGCGACGGAGGATGCGCCGTCACGCCTATTTGCCAGGTAATCATGATGAGGCTTGAAATTCCAAAGGAACTAGAGAAACTTGGTAATCGTTTTTCCCTTGAAGTTTTCTCTGTTTATTTCTTGTGTCATTGACCAGAGAAATACCGAAAGTGAAGCCATTAGCAAGTTGCGGCTTTGCGACTTTGCGACTGAAGAGTAAGAGAAACATGGAGGGGCAGAGAAAAGTGGAATGAGGGGGAGGGGCCATGGGAATCTCTTGTGTGGGGCAGCGTCGTGCCGCTCTTCCATTGGGGTCAACGGGTGTACCTCACTTCGTGCTAGCAGCTGGCCTAGTAACGTGTGGATTTGGCAATGGAAAATAATGCCAATTTGAATGAATGGGGTGGTCAATTTCTGGCCGGTTGGAGCAATTAACGCCGGTAATTACCTACCTGTTATCCCATGGTTGAGGGGACCAAATCACAGAGAAGTCAAACCCAGAAAACTCAATCCGGACCAAAGTTTCTGAGAGCCGAGAGTGAGCCCGATCAATGTTGAGTTGAGTTGAATGGTTCAGGAAACTAAATCTTCTCAAAGTCTGATTTGCGCTTGACAAAGTTTACCTGGACGGCCTTCACACGCCCACAGAGACACAAGTTCACTGCTGTGTGTATCGACAAGACAGCCGGTGTAAGTCTCTTTTTCCTAGCTCCATTCCCCGCCCCCATGCCCCATCTGCCCCGCGTCAACTCATGACATGGATGACCGCGGGTACGATATACCAGTACATAAGGTAAGGTAAGTAGATATCCAAAGAAACTACCAAGGCATCCGCAGACCGTCGGACTCAGTACTTCTTCTGCTGCGCGACAGAATTGTCGATCGTAGAATGCCATGGAGAGACGCCATGCACGCTGTCACGACTGATGCAGTGATATTCTTTCCAAAACACGCACCATGGTATCCTGCTCCGAGGAAAACCAGGCGATGGGATCCTTTACCTGCATAAGACACATCGCATGCAGAATCCGATATTGAATCCCTCTCCTACCGGCTAAAAGATTGTGGTTGTATTGGCTAGCAGTCCACAGACTTGAGTTTCATTGCCTGCGACATTACCAATGCCTGATTGATATTTAGCACGACTTTACCCGAATGTTGGACTTTCGGAAGTGTCTTCGTCACATTAGCATCTAGGTACCCACGTACAAGCCTTCTCATGATGCTACTTCTGCACCAGAACATAGACTCCAGGTCACACGCACCTTGACAACATCTTCAGAACTTCAGACTACCTACGCCTTGTACGTATCTACAAGCATTTCAAATTGATCGTGAGAGAGTCTTAGTTCCAGCCCCGATGGCTGGACCCCCCTCGTGCCCCTCCGTGCCTGCTCCAACCCTGAAGCTAAGGTACCGCGATACCTCCACTCAGTCGAGGACGCCCCACTTGCCCTGCCAGACATGATTCTCTGACTCCTATTGGCGGAAGATCTTTGACCTAGTTTCTCCGTCCACTCAGGTGAATTCCATTTCCATTACATTACTTCCAACCTTCTCCAACACTCCAACGCCGCACAAATCCATGCCAAACTTCATCCTCCTCTTCGTATCGCAGGCCAGCCACGCGCATATCGTTGCAAAGAGGTTACAGCGATGCACTGCGCCATCTACTAGATGCTCGACAGTTTCAAAGCCCATGCCGGCTTTCTCCCGCCGGCCACCGGCAGTGACCGGGACCTGCCAGAAGGGCGGCCATGGCTGGCGCAGAGCATGGCCTACTGTTGCTTGTCTCCAGATACAGAGCAAAGCAAATCGTCGATTCCACCATCTGATGCTGACTGCAGGGCTTAGGTACCTTCGAGACCAAACACCACTGCTGTTGTGGTTCACGTCACTTTCATCGTTTCCAATGTGCCGCTTAGTGCGTCTACTGTCTTTCTGGCGGTGTCGATAGGTCAGAAGAAAGATGACGACGAAAAAAAGTTCAAGCCATGCACGACGGGCGAGCGACCCCGAGACTGGGCTACCAATCGCCGGATGATTTGCCAGGCACCCTCCGGCCTGCAGGTGTGCATGTCCCAGTTCGGCGCCAATGCTCAGGACGGGCTTGACGAGCCTTGTGCATGGCCGGACGACAGCTCTCCCAATGATGGCTTCTTTCCCATCACCGTCTGGCGTTGCCCTCCACGCACGAGTTCAGATTCTGGGCATCACCCAGCCCTGCACTGGCTGCCTCCGTGCAGATCTCGTGGCATCGGCCGGGAGCATCTGGCTCATTGGCGCAATCCATCTTCCCAGCAGATCCTGTCCTCGACACAGGGCTACAGCTTACAGCAGATGCAGATTCGCTACCGTCTATTAACCGGAGCCCACGGACCACGGACGTGGGTGGGCGATGTTGGATGGATCGGGGATTCAAGGGAAGTCCCTTGCTTGTCTCGGGATCCTCGGGATCTCTCTCGTCTTGTGACGGCTGTCCTTTCTCGACGTCTGAAAATACCCCGCCATGGCTGAGAGCCCAGAGAAGTCCTCCTCGCGGTGGGACTGAGACGCAGCGAGCCGGCCTCATACTCACCAATGCTGTTAATCTCTTCACTCAAGTCATCTAGACATATGTAGTTTGACAATCGGTGTTCTAGGTAGCAGGCTAAGGAGGGCCATGGGAGAGTAAAGTAGAAATTGGACACCAAAGTCTCATCGTTGAACAACCTGGAAACAGGAACCGCTTGCCGCAGTACCGGCGATGCACCTCGACTCTCTGCACACTCCACCCCCTTCTCCATCTCTCTTAGCGTTCTTCTCGTCTAGTCTCCGATTGCCCCTCCCCCTCCCTCCCTTCCCCAACTGGGGGGGGGGGGTGCAAGGGAGCGTCCCAGGGTGGCTCCGTCGTGCAGTTGTTAACTTCTCCGGCCTTGGCTTTGAGTTTACACGATGCTCGATAGTTCGGGCCAATGTCCACACGAGCAAGCCCCTCGCGACACGTCAAATATTTATTTCTAGACTCATCCCACCCCACGCCGGCTTGCTGATACTGGAACAAGCCCATTAGCTCACGGAAACCTTCCCGTCCTCCTTCTGGTCTCTCTTCTTTCTCTGTCTCCTATAAATACAACACCGGCCTCTACCCGTCTCTCTCGTACGTATTACCTCTCACCTCTTCTCAACACCCATTCAACTCCTCTCGTGCTCTTCACCTCCCCAACCTACGCCTCTCACCACACTTTGCTCACAACTCTCTCATCCATCCAGCTCACCCACCACACCAGCCCATCATGACCGTCTCCAACGGAAGCAGTGGCGCTCGCCGCCCCCTCCCCGTCGGCATCTACGCCCCCACCATGACCTTCTTCGACCCCGAGACGGAGGATCTCGACATCCCTACCATCAAGAAGCACGCCGAGCGTCTGGCAAAGGCTGGTCTCGCCGGTCTGGTCGTCATGGGCTCCAACGGAGAGGCTGCCCACTGCACACGCGAGGAGAAGCTGGCCGTGACCAAGGCCACCCGTGAGGCTCTCGACGCCGCCGGTTTCCAGAGCACTCCCATCATCCTCGGTGCCACCGAGGGCAGTGTCCGTGGCACCATTGAGCTCTCCAAGGCCGCCCTCGAGGTCGGCGCCGACTACTCTCTTATCCTGCCCCCCTCCTACTTCCGCGCCCAGATGGACGAGCAGGCCATCCACGACTACTTCATCGCCGTCGCCGACCAGAGCCCCATCCCCCTCGTCCTCTACAACTACCCCGGCGCCGTCTCCGGCATCGACATGGACAGTGACCTGCTCATCAAGCTGGCCGCGCACCCCAACATCGTCGGCACGAAGTTCACCTGTGGCAACACGGGCAAGCTCACCCGCGTGGCCCTCGCCGTCGACGCAAAGACACCTTGGTCAGAAGGCTCCGGCTACATGGCCTTTGGCGGCATATGCGACTTCACGGCCCAGACCCTCGCCAGCGGCGGCAGCGGCATCATCGCGGGCGGCGCCAACGTCATGCCCAAGGTCTGCGTCAAGGTGTGGAACCTCTACTCGGAGGGCAAGAGGGACGAGGCCATTGAGCTCCAGAAGAAGCTCAGCCGCGGCGACTGGTTCCTGACAAAGGCCGCCATCGCCGGCACCAAGGGCGCCATCCAGAGCTACTACGGCTACGGAGGCTTCCCCAGACGGCCTCTGAGACGTCTGGAGAAGGCGCGTACCTCTTCTATTGAGGAGGGCATCAAGGAGGTCATGGATATTGAGAACTCTCTCTAATTGGGTAGTGCTTTCCTCGTTCTCATGATTTCATGAGAGAAAAAAATGACCTAGGCGTGCGGGCAACTTTTTTGTGCCCGGCGTGGCGGATGGTGGGGTAAAACGTCCCTCCCACCGATCACGGCCGTGGGGGTGTGTTTCCCGGGCTAGGTCTCGGAAGAATGTCCGGGGTGATGATGTACCGAGCTCTTTGGTATCCCCCACCTCTCACCAAGGCACTTAGACATAACTCGGACTATGTGTCCTCACCCCCCCCCCCAAAAAAAAAGACAAACTGGGTTGGCATCTATCGATAGTTTTACAGGGAGTTTTTGGGCGCGGAAATAACGATTTGGGATGAGAGATTGCATCTGTTAGTAACATCACCAACTACTCTTGAACTAGGAGGAGCGCATGATTGGAGATATTGTCCCCGGGACTGAGCATCCTAGGGGAACCTCAAAATAGATTTTATGAATTTTTTCAATAATTCTTCGTGTTTCATTAATCATGTGTCTCTCTACCTTGTATTCTATACCATGCAGCAACGGTCCCAAGTACTAAAACTGCACTTCCACTGCTCTGCTCTACACCAGTCACCGAGCATCTAGACTCTATACCGCCTCGGGTCCAGCTCCGAGATATCGGCGCTGGCGGTCTTGCCGTCGAGTATGTACTCGGACATGAGCTTCCCCGTCGCGGGACCGTTCTGGATACCCCAGCACGTGTGGCCGGCCGCGAGCCACAGGCCCGGCACCGACGTCGCGCCGATGAGGGGCCCGGACTCGTGCTGGGGCAGGTAGCACGCCTGCTTCGCCTTGATGGAGGCGGCCGCCAGGGCCGGGCTGACGGTGGCGATGTACGAGATGATGTCGTCGCAGTTGGCTTCGTCTACTTGGACCTTGTCTGCTGTTTCTGGGAGGGGTGCGTCCTCGTCTGGTTCGCCTGGAGTTTGGGGGTATTTGCTGTGAGCTTTATGTTGCCAAGATTTGGCTTCCCGTCTGCCATCTGAAAAGAGAGGGAGAGGGGAATGTGTGAGAAAGGGTGGGAGAAGGGTCACTAACCACATGCATACACCTCGCCGTACGGCCGCGCGTAAATCTCAGGGTCGACGACGCGCTGGTGTTTTCTCTTTTGGCCTTTACTGACCCGGTGCTCGGGCACAAAGTCGGCCGGGAGCTTGATGCTGGTGAAGACGGCGTAGGGGCTGACGTCGGCGTTGTAGACGACGCTGTGGGCCCGCAGGCCCGTGACCTTGGACCGCGGCAGCAGGCGTCCTGTCCACGGGCCCGCGGCTACCAGGACGTCCGTCACGTGGTCGATGGTCCGGGTCTCGTTGGTCTCGCGGTCGAGGTACTCGACGCTCTGAACACGAACCTCACCGGGGATAATCCTCTTCAGCTGCGCGTTGGTCCGCACCTCGACGCCCTTTTCCTGCGCCAGCGCCGCCATGGACGTGGTGAAGTCGTACGGGTGCACCTGCGCCGTCTCCGTGGCCCCGGGCCGACCCATCTCGGCGTACGTCTCGACGGCGGCGTGATCGATCCAGTCGAGGTCCCCCGGCACGCCTGAATCCCGAAACATGGCCTCGGCGGCCTCGTCCTGCTTCGGTAGCCTCTCCCACCCCTTTTCCTGCTCGCCGTCGTTGGCGCCGGGCGCGACCGCTTCGGGTTTCACGGCGGCTTGCTTCACGTTCTCGAGCGTCTGCTTCGTGACGCGGGCCTCGAAGCTGCCGCAGTTGACCCGCCGGTAGCCCCATCTCTTCTCGCCGCCGTGCTCTGCCGCGAGCTCCTTGTGCAGGCGGTAGGAGAGCGGGACGAGGCACGACGGGTAGGCCCAGAGGGCGAGCAGGCCGCCCGCTTTGCCGGAGGCGCCTGAGGCGATGGCAGTGGCCTCGAGGATGGTGATGCGGTGGAGGGCGGGGTTGTATTTCGGGTGTCTGGTGAGGAAGTAGGCCGTTGTGGAACCGATGATGCCGCCACCTGTAAGTGTCGTCCCTTTGATATCAGTCTACCCGAAGCGGCGACGACGATGACGACCCTGTTGTGTTGTAGACGTACCGACGATGACAATGTTGCGCTTCGCTTGGGGATCCATGGCTGGCAGGGGCGGTGTTAGTGTCGACAGGGCCTCTTCCTCGAGTATCCGTCTTGCAATGTCGAGTTGTCGTTTCTCCCGCCGCTGCTTCTTCGTCTTCTTCCTGACAACGGGCATATTTCGTCACCCCCGTGGGGCGGCCGTCCCACGCTGCTGGCTGGGCTCGCGCTCGAGCTCCCTCGAGAGCACGGTCCGAGGCGGGGTAGTTCCTTATCGATAGCGGGTGGTGACGGTGGCGGGAAGTGGGTAGAATGAGACCGCGGCCGGGTTGCGGCCCCCCCCCCCCCCCCCAAGTTCTAGGTACTTTGGACTTTGGAGTAAGTAGGTAGGTATCTGTATTCGTAGTGGGTTGCAGCAAAGCCTTGTGCACCCTGACGTGATTCGGTTGATTCGCGTGCTGGTGATTGGGAAAGATTGCACTGAGAGAGTCCGGCACGGTAATTGGCCCAGGATGGAGCTCGCATTCCAAATATGGAAATCACCTCGGCGAGGGAGCTATGACGGAACAAGCATTGATCCGCTTTGGCTCGGCTCCGGCCTGCTTAGTAATTGACAATCGGTGGGTGGCTAAGTGCCGATAACGTTATGGTGAGGGAGCTTCACCCCGGCCTCATCGGCGTTCTTGCCTCGACTCGGGAAGTCTGGCCGCAACGGAAGACCCGGACTTCAAAGTTGGTGCTGGGCAAACTTGCAAAAGTCGAAGCTCCAAATCCGTCTGGACTTGCCGACTCGGGCACCGGAACAACGAATTCAACCGACTGGCTCCACTCTCACATGAAAAGCCGGGTCTCGCGTTCGCTTCAGGAATCCGAAGTAGTGATTCAGTATTGTCAAGTCAATGAGCTGCCAAAGACGAAATCTGCTGGTTGACTTCAAACAAGAATCTTAGGAGCTGAGCCTGCTATGAGAGCTGGGGTTTGCAATGCACTGTTTGATACCTGTACTGCGTAATCATCTATCCACCAAAGACAAGCTGTGACATTGGGATGTCTGGAATGAAACAAAACGGAACCAGGACATGCCGTCCCGTACCTCGGCCGATGCAGAGCTTGTCGACGCTCCCGCATCCATCGTGACGGAGCCCCACTTTCGACCGAAGACCCCGTCGTACCCCTCTTGTTCTGGCCCATTCGAGGTGTCAAAGTGCAGCTCTGTGGAGGCGTTGGTAGTGTGATGGTGCAACACTAACGGTAATGGAAGGTATCCGTAGGCAAATACAGATACACAGTAGTCTGTTGGTGTGGCTTCGATGCGAGTGCACGCCCGTGCCTGGGGACCCATTGGAAACCGGATTGAAACTTTGTCCCGGCAGCACACACTGGCGAAGGGACAGGCGTGACAGGAAAGGACGACGTACTTCGCTTCCCGTCCCTGCATCACCCAATCCCTCCCTCGTGGCGTCACGCATGGCATGTTTCGTCAACTACATACCAGAGCCTTCTCTCCCATAACAACTTCCACTGCTGCTTCCGTAGCTGTGCATCGTCCAAGACTTCTTCTTCCCTCCATCAACTCACTGAAAACTTGTGCATCATCGCCAAAGCGACCGCAGCTAATCAACAAGATCCAATTGCGGGGTAATCTAAGAGCTATCGCAGAAAAGCAACAACAAATCCACACAACCGCAGCAATGGCTTCCGCAACAGGCTTCTACGACTTCAAGCCCTTGGACAGTACGTGTAATTCGATCATTGCGCGCTAACCAATCAACATGACTTCGATGAGTTGGCTGACATGCATTTCCCCTCCAAAACAGAGCGCGGCCAAGAGGTCCCCCTCGCCGATTACAAGGGCAAGGTCGTCCTCGTCGTCAACACCGCCTCCAAGTGCGGCTTCACCCCGCAGTACGCCGGCCTCGAGAAGCTCTACAAGGACATCAAGGAGAAGCACGGCGACGACTTTGTCGTCCTCGGCTTTCCCTGCAACCAGTTTGGCGGCCAGGAGCCCGGCTCCGACGACGAGATCCAGAACTTTTGCCAGGTCAACTACGGCGTCTCCTTCCCCATCATGCAAAAGATTGACGTCAACGGCGACGCCGCCAACCCCCTCTTCCAGTGGCTCAAGGAGGAGAAGCCCGGCATCATGGGCCTCAAGCGCATCAAGTGGAACTTTGAAAAGTTCCTCATCGGCCGTGACGGCGCCGTCAAGGGCCGCTGGGCCAGCACCACCAAGCCTGAGAGCTTGGAGAAGCCCATCATTGACGAGCTGGAAAAGAAATAAACGCGAGAAGGAGAGAATGATACCCAGAGCGCGTTCAGCTGCCGACTAGGGGGGTTCTGTTGTGTTTTGTTTGGGAAAATCCGAGCCATACGCACAGGTCTCGTAGTGTAGTTGATAGACGCCCTACTCCCTTCGCTTTAGTACAGTACGGAGGATAATCAACAATATGAATCAATATAGTGATTTGTTCTGTTAACATGTCTCTACAAAGTTGTTGTAGGGTTTAAGACGAGGTGATAACTAAAAGACGACCCCAGAACGGGTCATTCTCAGGCTTGGACAGGTTTATGTTGTCAGTGGGATAAGCATAAGCCAACTCATGCTCTTTGTTGAAGGTCACTTCTAGCTTCTCTGAGAGGTAGGAAATTCATCTTGTACCCGTGAAACTTGGGCTTGAAATTTGGGGCAAGATGGGTTTGGTTTCACACACATCAGTACCGTTACCATTGTCTGGATGCTTGGCTCCGATCCACGAATGGAAGGATGATCGGGTCGCTTAACATTCTGTATTCTAGCAGTTACTGGCAACTGTACCAAAGTTATCGTTTCTTGTAGTCTATCCTCATCACCTCGTGAAGCCGATCCTAGTTGACATTGGCTATGATGGCTTAGATCCTTGCCGTGAAAGTTTCTCCAGGCCAAAGACCCAACTCATCGTAACCACCTTAAGGGTGAAGCACTCCTCTGCAACGGTAGAATCGGTAATCTTTGGTCTTTGGCCCTATTCAAGGTACCCCAGAGCTGCAGAGTCTCTCCCTTGAGTTGCTCCTTGGAGTTGACGACTCCTAGGCTTGATGCAGGACAGAAGAGCACCTCACTCCAACCTAAATTCGAGATTCAATAACGACGCTATTCCTCGCTACTTAACAGTGAACCACATGTCTCATCATGGCAGCTTACAGAAGTGCTTTCACAATACACCACTTCGGATTTTTCATCCTCAATATTGGCGGTGCTTAAACGGCTCAATACTGGGTACGAAGCCGAGCGACCATGATAGAAGACGATACTCTGCTGAATACTGGCTATTCCAAGCCAGCCGGGGCTTTTTGTATTCAAGTGCTGCGATGAAATTTCATCACTATAAGATAGAGGCGTGCGTAGAGCTGGTGGCGTCCTCAAATGCCCAGAGAAGAGATGTGCCGCTACTTGCCTAAGTGATGAGCACAATATTTAGCTTCCTTGCTGCTTCATCTCGCAAAGGACATTTCAGAATACCGGTAATTCGCAACTCTACCAGTATTTTCAGTCTCGAGGGGACTCGGCGACTGGCCGTACGAGAGGCCACATTCTATCACGGGCTATCCCGGTGAAACCTTCGATGTTGTACAGAAACAACATAAGTGCGACGTGTGGGGGCTTGGATAATTCAACTACCATCAAAGCATGCTTCACGAGATTCTCAACGCCATCAAGAACCTTGTTGCTATTTTGAGCGGGCTGTTACACGTACACGTAGCAGATTGCTTTCTAGACAACAGTGAACCACCGATTGACACTGAAAAGTCTCATCTCGTTCGGTGATATCACTCTTGATCAATCGTTATCAGTGAGTAAGAAATGGCCATCGTCGGATGAGTTGGAAGAAGGGAATAGGAATCCGTCTCGTAACGGGTATGCAATACTTCTTGGTTCAAGACAATGGCAGTGATCCTCTGCGAAGCTCCAACTTGATATTCGTATCTGCAACCCACATTTCAGTGTAAAGCGTACATTTGCCGAATCAACTAAACACTAGTTAATTGGTACGGATTCATACCTTTCTGCTTTCAAGATATTATTACGCTGTGAAATCTCCCTTGAAACTCCAATCCACCTGGGATCGATCTCAGCAGCTTGCGAAGCCGTAAACCCACAAGACATCACGTTTGACGCTCTATGTACGTCAGGGATTATCGCTTGAGGGCACGTATTCTCCTGCTCCCCCTTACGCGTGATCTCCTGGCTTGTGTCGCGATTTTTTTGTTACAAACACCCTATCACAAGTTCTCAACCACAGTTGGCATTCTAAACTTTGCCCTCCAGACGAGGTGTACCGGGCTAGGAACGCAAAAGCCTATATTCCAAGTGAGTCTGCTGTTGCTATAGACGTATCCAAACTTATTCGATATCGGCCTTGGAGTGTTTAGACAGCCGATTTATCCATTGCAGTTTAGGAAGCGACGACGATGACTAGACGTCGCCGATTTACGTGGCCCCTCAATCTGTCTACACAGGTCGGTAGATGCTACATGCCTTATATTGACATGGAGGAACATCCTTCCGATATCAGACTCATGGTCAGGATACTGAAAGTTGGAGACTTCACGTCGACATATGCCCGAAGCCTCCTCGCTCTTGATGACCTCAACACGTAAAGTCACTCACAGACCTCCCGCAACGTCAGATGCCCATGTCCATTAATGAGAGACGAGCGTGGCATACAATCACATTTTAGGGTATGATCGAGAGTCTTATGAGGCATGATACTATGGAACAAGAAGTAAATCACGATCCAATAAACAGGCTTAGCCGAGCTCCAACTCATTCGCTTCCCGAATCATGATCCATGGAGTTGACAATGGAGACAGGATAGTAACCTAAGACAGAGCAAATCACAAGAAACTAGTCTGTCTTGGTACTTGCAGAGTTTAGTACTTCAAACACCAACAACTAAAGGCCTCCATTTTGACTGCAAACCTCAGACTACGTGATACTTCAAGCTGTATAAATAGAGGAACTACATCAAAAGCCGCGGCCATGACGATGCACAATGTCGTACAGATATCGACTTAGGGCTCAATGATAGTCACCGAGCGTGTACGGACAGTAATCATCCTGCCCAGATGGTCTGGAATCGACCTTCACCGCATAAATTTCTAGTTTGCTATAACTATCTTCAAAGACTACTTAGTCCCCGTTCACCCGCAAAACACGAGAACGCCGCCAGGACAACAGAAGCTTCCCCCTTCCGTTTCATCTCGATATCTCTCCTTTCCCAAGATCCAGAATATAGAAAGAGATATTCTGCCATGTGCCGCCACGCAAATGAAACCAGGAGCCCCCCACGGCG